CGTGACTGATATGTGACAAGGGGGCTCAAGGGGAAGGTTCGAGGGGTGATGTGGAGTCCCAAGGGGGCCCGAGTTGTGGGACGGAGTCCCAAGGGAGCCCAGACTCTTCTCTCCGATCTTTCTGTGCATCGATTACGTCACACGTTCCCCCATTCTCGTTTGTCATGAAAATTGTAAAAAGTTTATGAGATTTGTTGATGATTGAGTATGAGATTTGAACGCAGGTTGTCGGCGTGTGGTTTGAAGTTCCCGCTGTACGCGCGGTAGCTCCTAATTGGTCGACTGGGTGTGTAATGACGAAAAGTGAAGGAGTAAGCTCTGAAAGTCTAAGGCCCAATTCACACAGAATGGACGTCTGGCAGAGACGAGACGCGGACCTTTGTTCCTTTCGTGTGACGACCTGAGGTCCAAAAACCCAATGGACCCAATGAACACTTACTCCGAAGTGTGGGGAGTATCATTGTATCATTGAGGAGTTTAGATTGCTGAATTCAACTGGTCTTGACGGGCATACCTGTAAGGTCGAAGACGTCTCACCTTGCGATGAATAGTGGAAAACCAGAGTCAAAATACAACTTATTCATGATTCAACACCAGATAGCGCTGTTTTGATCCGCCATAGGTCTCATCAGTGGTACTGGGCGGAACCACAAATGCATTGGTGGACAATGGCATCCTCCCTTACGGAGACGCTATGGGAGCGACAGAGAACTATCTCTCTCCCTGAAAAGCTTTCGTTTTGAGATAAAATTGTAATAAACTCTGCTTAAATTATCTTTGTTAAGCCTAATTTGCTCATATTTTAACTCTTCAATGTATCTCTGCAGATTAACCCCAGTTATAGGAATGGTTATTCTGATGTTAGCCACCCTATATACAAATGTCGGGGAAGGACCTTTTTGGGCAGAAACCTCCAGGGTTTCCAATTCTTGTAGAGACAATTGGTGGACCTTTTTTCTCTACATCGAGAATTACATTCCTGCGGAAAGTGTAGCTATAAAGTTCAGATAGTTTTTCTGTTATTTTATTGGTTTTTTTTAGTGTATCCCACAAGGTTGGTATCTAGGAGTTGATATGCAATGTTATATCGTAGCAGTCATAATTATGGTGTTTTTGAAGAAGTGGAGCAAAATGACGCTGATTGGTATGGGAGTATTGATTTTACTCAGTACCGTGGTTTCATTTTGGAACTGCTACATTAATAGGTGGGCAGTTGTAAGGGTTCATTTCACGTAAGTATTCACGTCTTAGACTAATTATCATCATTGAATAGAAAGCAATCACAACTAGAGTTCCAAGGCGGCGCCTTTGATCTCTATTCAGTTTTTTCCAATACCTTGATGATATATTTCGGTATAGATCTTGGTGCCGGCTTCGTCTAATATATACACATAAAGTTCTTCAGTTTCAGTACCACCCCAAAAATTCTGAAGATTTTCTAACTATATATCGTGGAATTGTAAAGTCATTCAACCCCAACACAACGAATTTTTTTGAGAAAAATGAAAATTTCCTGATTTTTTCAGCAGACCTCATATATCTCCACAAAAAATCTATAGGAATCAAACCGGGTAATCGAGGTGGCCATAGGATTACTCAACCCCTTTTCCTATCCACGAGAGACTGTAATCGGTGTCGTCCTGCCTGTACTAGAAATTACACGTCAAAAAATAAGACCTCTATAAGCACACAAAAGTTTCAACTGAGAATTATCGTTTGTGAGAAACCGACAGCTGGTCACTCCCCAGGTCTCAATATTGGTCTTCACATGGGTCTCAATATGCCTATCCCCAAGCGAATACTCGGGATCAGGTTCGAAACGTTTATTGACAAAGTTCGAAACGTTTATGGCAACGGCAATAAACCTTTGCGGGTTGCGATGGAGGGTCGAATAGACCTAACCTAAATTACAATAAAATTTGTCACAATCCAAGTCTTGATCTGAGTTATCATAGTGAAGTAAAGTGAATTATAGTGAAGGTTATCTAGGGAATTAATTATTGGTATTATTATTTGCAATGCAATTATTTCAGGTTAGTATGATTATAATCATACTAGTGGGTGTTTTCGTGTTCCTTAGGCATTGCAGTTCTTGTTCCATGAGTGATGTTATCCTGGTGTAGTAGCTGGTCCGGGTGAGGTAGCTGGTGGTCAAGTTGGTGAGTTCAGGTACAGGTAGGCCTTGGTGGGTAGCGTTGGTGGTGAGAACAGGGGTATGACTTACAGAAACGTGATGTGCAATGTTGGGAGGAATACAGCTTAACAGTAATGATCTCCATGAATGACTCGTTTGTTGATGCAGTTGAGACGTTTTCTTATTTCAATGGCTTCGCGAATCATCTTGGTCTGGAGAGTTTTTCAGTGGCAATATTTTTGGTGTTTTCGAAGCTTATTGTGTGTCATGTTTCACGATGTTGTTTGAAGAGGGGTGAATTACGGACAGCACACAATGATCTTAGACTCTTCTAATGGTCTGGCCGATGTAAGTTCTAGACGAAAGGATGATTTTAGTCCGTTTAGTTTCTTGGGTGTATTGTGGTCGTTAGTGTGATAGATCTGTGTAAGAGATAATTTAGAAAGGCATTGAGGTAGTCCATGGTATGAGTTGGTTTTTGGTAAACAGAGTGTGATAGGAAATTGTCGAATTTTGTGATGAGAACGTTCGGAATTGAAGTAAGACGTTCTATTAGAAAATCCCAAAAGTAGATTAACACGTTCAAGTAGTGTTACTACTATTTGATCATTTTTAGCTATTTTCGATCCATCTCTCAATATAAATTATTCCCGTTTGCAGGGCCAAAGCAGATGACTATAACTTTCATTACTATATCAAAACATATACAAGATGTGGCCCTTATCTCATTGGAATGATATGCGGATATATAATTTATAACCTTAAGACAAGTCCAAGAAAATATCAGCTAACAATGGTAAGTAGGTATTGTAAAATGTTGTGTTTTTTCATCCCACCTAATACTTACAGTAACTTCGTTCTGTAGTCAATTTATTTGAATATTATTTTTGGTCCGATGTTTATGCAGATCAACATTCATAAAAATGTAATTTCCCGACGCCTAGGCATACTACTTTTTTGAAGAACGTTCTAATTTGTTCTAATTTCATTTCAGGGTAAGAAATTTCTCTACTGGATGATGTGCCTCACACTCCTAGCCACATGTATTTACTTGCCCTTGAGTTTGACTGACGATGACGATTCCATTTGGCAAAACGCTCTCTTTATTCCCGTCCACAGACTGGTATGGTCAGCATGTGTTTGCTCCATCGTTTTGATGTGTGTCACGGATAATGCAGGTATATTAGAACATTTCATGTCTCGCTTTTTTCACGGAAATGCTAATGAAACTTTTCAATTCATCAAAGCTAATAGTAATACCACAAGACCTCGAAATGTCATTACCAATACCATAAGAGCAAACTACTCATCCTGAGAACTGTTGGTTTTATCTATTGCTGGTTGCTGGTTGCACAAAATCTCTTTCTAGAAAGAGAGAGTGCCCGGTATCTCAGTTCTGTTAATGACCCTGGGTGGGCTAATAACCATACATCTTTTCAGCATAGATACACACACCTTAGGATAAGACTTTGTAAGGAGTACTCTTACCTCAACTGGTGACACCACCCTTTCTTCTGAAAGTTGATTTATCATATTTTCACCTTTTCGAAAATAGTTCGTGAACTATTAATTCTTGATCATATTTACATAACTCCATGGAGTCAACAAAAACATTGACTAAATAAATTTTGATACTTCCAATACTTCAGAGATCAAAATTGCGTATACAATCAAAACTTTCTGTTGTCTTTGTACGTCAAATATTGTAACTTTCTCAGTGCTTGGGAAAAAAATTGTTATACAAATTTTATGTACCCCCCTTTAAGGGGCTGTATCTTAACAAGGGATGCTCCAATGTAATTTCTTCATATGAAAGATCCTATCTCTTTTTCGATGAGGAATCACCTCTTCAAATGTTTTACATTTATTTTGTTACCCCCTGTATTCTTCAATGAAACCATATACGATCAAAATGATAATAGATAAACACAACACCATAATAGAACACATTACGGACCGCCTCGTTGATACATGACACGTAAGGACAGTCTCTTGACAGACGGTACCCTGTCAATCAACACTTCATTTTAGTACCAACCTTTCATATCACAATGTTGCCAACCAATTCTAATCAATTCGTTCTGTACATGACATTCTTTTTTTTCAGATTTTGTGAATAGCTTTCTGTCAATGCCGATTTTCCAAGTGGTAGCCAGATTATCCTACTGTGCATACATCGTTCATAACTTTTGGATTTTAGCAAAAGTAATATCCTTGAAAACCGTGGTGAATTACTATGTACACCAAGTGGTAAGCATTTAGTTGGAACTGCTGTCCAGAAACAACACATTCGTAGTAGCTGTAGTAGCTGGGCTGAACTTTAAATGTATTTCTGGCCTCAACTATTTTTGATAATGTATTAATAACTGTCGATTTTGAAGCTTGGCTCTGCAACTGACCGCCTCTAGGAGCCTCAATTATCTTTGAGTTCTCAATCAACTACATAGATGACATTTTTCTGAAAGATGTCATCGACCTCAGTCATTGTTTGCATTACAGAAATAAAGTAGATCCTGGATTAAAAATGATAAAGGTTGCTATCCCACAATAGTAGAAACGTTGAAAAACTAACATCTTTCTAAATATTATTGAAGGTTTAAGTGCTGAGCCTTCAGATTCAAATTGCAAGCTATTTTTGGGGCTGAGGATCGAGGGGGTCATAATGAAGGCAGATGTCACACGTAGCCTGACAATTGGGACATCATAATGATGCCTCGATATGACTTTGGTCAGTTATTCAGGGCTGTCATATTTTCGTCATTATCAACTAATTTTCCGAGGTATTATGACGAAAATATTGACTTGATAAATTTGATAAGAAACAAAAATTGATCTGTTTCGAAAATTTGCAATAATATTATTGAACAATTCAAATCAAATCAATTTTATTTCTTCTTCTTATTGCTTATTTTTTGAAAACGAATACACAAATTTCAAACACATACAGACCCGTACAGGTGAGAATGTTGTAATTTTTGAAGAGATTACGACATGAGTAGTCACTGTTGACAACAGCTATACATCTTATGATTTTTTTTGAGAAATAAAAACTTTCTGCGAGTAAGAAGAGTCTCCCCACAAACACGTTCCACACCTGACCCGGCTTTCCACTTGTGCATAATATAAATTTATCAGTTGCTGTGGACTCAACATTTCTAAACATATAGTAGATCGATGAGAGCTTAGAGCACAAAAACTGACAGTGTTCTTTCCAGTCCATGCGGGAGTCAATGAAAATACCGAGAAATTTACAATCTTCATGGACGGATAACTGAGTGTTATTCTGGAATATATCTAAATTTTCATGTTCCTTCTTTGTTGGGTGGAACAGTATTGAATTTGTTTTTTCAGCGTTGAAATACAGACGAATTTCATTAAACCAAGCAACTAGTTGTTTAAAGGTAGATTCACAAGTTTCTTTTAAGGTATCGAGATTTTTGTGAGATATAAGTAAAGAGGTATCATCAGCATAAATTGTAAGTCCTACGTTTGGAAACGATTTCGTTATTTCATTAATGTATATAATGAAGAGAACCGGGCCTACGACAGAGCCCTGCGGGACACCCATATCAATTCGAACCTCAGAATATTTGATGTCCTGAAGCGAGTTGTTACTAAAATATTTCGAACTGACAAACTGTGAACGGTATTTAATGAAATACTCAATCCAACTGAGAGAAACACCTCTAATACCATAATTGTATAACTTCGATATGAGAATATATCATGATCAACACAGTCGAGAGCTCGACTCAGGTCACAGAAAATGCCGTTCAGGCCAGTCTCTACTCACCTACACAGTAGATTAATGGACTGACACCAATCAGAAAACAACTACTTCCTTAGCTAATACCACGAAGGGCGTTGGGTTATATTCGACAGGTGTTAGTGCGGGATTTATCACAGAAGTAATTCCTGCATATGCTGTGGGCTATGCAACTGCTGGAATCGATTTTCAATTATTGGAACGGGCACTCTTGCAGACCAATTTCGTGCTATTTTGTCTCTCGTCGGTGCAAGGTAGTGTCCATCGTCATCATGAAGTCGATGATTTCCCATAATCGAAAATTGAATTAATTTCAGAGCATCATTTCTCGAACTAGGGTGAAGCGAACAACAAGCATCATATTTGTCACCGCCCCATCTGATATAGAGCTAGTCTTTTTTTTTGGTACTTTGGGAGCTGTCTGACTTTTCCATTTAGTCCAAGTCTCCCGAAAACACTGCAGCCTCTTGGGCTTATTGCGTTTATTCTCCCATCTTCTCATGACACCCATTCCATCAGTCTCGTTCCCTGTACTAGTTTGTACAGGTTCCATGTTGGATGTTCGTCATATTCTTCTGGGCGTAATTTTGTACGTCCATATATTGCCTGCCTCCTGTGATTCAGTGCATCACATTCGCATAAGATGTGTAGTGGTGTATCTATCCCTTCGTTGCATAATCTGCAGCTGAGGTCTCCGTTGTACAGCCCCATTTTATTCAGGTGTCCTTTGAGCGGGCAATGGCCGGTTAGTAACCCTGTAATCATTCTGAGCCTGTCCCTACTATATTGAAGTAGTTCTTCGGTTCTTTTCTCGGACGGTTCCCTCATGAAGATTCTACTGTGTTGCCAGGTACTTTTGTCTAGTACTCTGTGTGCTTCTTATTGGTCCATGTCCTAATCTGGTTTCGTATCAATGATTTTGGTACCCCCAGAGCTGGTTCCGGACCTATATATAACTCTTTGGAGTCTATCAGGACATACGTGTCCCATTCATGTATTTTGTGCGCCTAGTGGTACAAATAGATCCCGTTTTTCCATTATACATAAATATATCAGTCTCTAAACACACACTATACAAGTATTTGTTTACAAGTGGTCACATAACCTCACAGTTTGCCGGTGAAGTCCGTCCAGCCAACACGTGCTTTGCGTTCCACTATATTCTGAAAAATTTGCAAGTGTGTTATTGCCCTAACTGTATTTATTGTGTCTGCTCTCTAAGGTTAGTAATAAGCAATGCACTAGTTTTCAATGATCGTGTTCTAATAAAAACCTGTTGAATTTCATTACTTTAGACTGTGGGACACCTATGTCCCACCAGGCATTTTGAACGGGACACATTTGTCCCGGTGGTTCTGTACAACAATGAGTAAAAGAATATTGACACAAAGAGAACTTGAAGAAGAAGCTAATACAATTATAGAAGATGGCTTGAGTGATGACGATTATGACCCATTTCGTTGTGAAGACTCATCAGATGAAAATTATTGTCCCTCAGAGAGCGATAATAGTGAAGATGATGAAAATTATTGTTTCTCAGAAAGCGACAATAACGAAGATGAAATTATCTCTGATGATATAAATAATGATGATGAAGTTAGTCAAGAAGGTAATGAGACAATCGGAAGTGGAAACGTAGTGGCACCAGATGGAGTAGTATTTTGGAGTAGCAGCAGTCAACAATTTTCTCCCAGATTCTGTATACCTGACGAAGCAGCAGCTACTTCTTGCCTGCCGAGACAAATGAAGGAAGTTGAAATTTTCTTGAAGATTTTTCCTAGAAGCCTACTCATGCAGATTGCTGAATAGATCTAATCGATCAATATGCGGGCTTATACGACTTCGACAGAAGATCAAATAAGTGGTGGAAAATAGTTTTTTCAAACTCCTTATGATAGCTGCAAGAAATGCTCATATTCTCTACGATGATGTAAGACGCACAAAAACTTCATTCCTGCCATTCCTAATTACAATAGCAGAAGATTTGATTGCTTTGGGATGAAGTGGGGCAAGTGTGAAGAGAAAATCAGCAACATCTTTAGGGCGACCTAGTTCGAAAAAACGAAAACATCAAAATGTGGGCGATCATTTACTTATTGAGGGCCCCACAAGACGTCGCTGCTGCAGATGCGCACAGATGCAAAAAGAAGTGAGAACAAAAACAGTGGGACATATTAAACCCAGACTACTGGGTTTAATATGTCCCACCTAAAATTTCTAATGGGACACATATGTCCCGGCCCTTAGCGTAAAAAGGGCGTAACCTGCATTCATAAAACTAACATTTCTTGATATAGTATCCACATTCACATAAAATTTGACCTCAGATATATCACAAGTATAAGAAAAATAAATCAGACTCCAAAGGGATAAAGTTGATGATCCGCGTCTAGCGCATTCATCAGCTTTGTCATTACCTGTGATTCCTGAATGCCCTGGCACCCAGTACAAAGTTAGTTTGTTCCTGTTTGCTAGTTCATTCAGTTCTTCATGGCATTCCCAGACCAGTTTTGATGTCACCTTCGGGTTTGTCAGAGTCCCTAGTGCGCTCTTGCTGTCTGTGAAGATATTGATCCGCTCATTTCTTTGAGGGCTCAATTTAATAAGCCTTGCCCACTGCAAGACAGCATACACTTCCGCCTGAAAGACGGATGTGTATAGTCCTAGCGGATAGCTGCAGTTTAAATTTCTATCCGCTCGGTATATTCCAGCTAACGTTCCATGTTTGGTCTTCGATCCATCTGTATACCAGGTGTTTCTTCCAAACATGTTTTCGGGATGACTAATGGTCTTCCACTCTTCACGGCTTATGATTTTGGCCGTGAAGTTTGTGTTAAAGGTGTACTTCGGTGTCATGTGGTCCGTGCACATATTCAGTATATGCTCTTTCACTTGTTCCAAAATTTCAGTTTGGTCCGATCTTTTGTAATTCGGTTCCAGTCTGAATTGGCCCATCATGACCTCCCCCGTTATCACAAATTGTAAAGGAGGTAGATTCAGAAGTGTCTCCAATGCAGCTGTTGGGGTAGTTCTCATTGCTCCCGTCATTCTTAAACATGCAAGTCTTTGCACCTTGCCTAGTTTGTTGATTGCGGTCGCCTGCTTCATCTTTGGCCACCAGACCAGAGATGCGTATGTTATCATGGGTTTAACCACCATCGTGTATACAGCCAGTATACAAGTAAGTCCTCTTACTGGACAGGACTCCTCCAGGAGAAGGAAATATTAAAAGCAGTTGTTGGTTTACAAATGGATCAAAAACACCTTTCGGTTCTGGTGCAGGTGTTTTTAGTCTCAGACCCAGGACAAAGATATCTACCTGCCTAGGAACTTATGCGACTGTATGTAAAGCGGAAATTTACGCTATTGAATCGTACGCGGTGAGATTAGATAAATCCAACCTCATATACAAGTCAATAAAAATATTCTCGTACAGTCAAGCAATGTCTAAGTTGGTAGCAAATTGCCAAAAACGACTCTCCTCGATAGGAAGACTTAACAGATTGTCTCTGGTCTGGATTCCTGGCCATACTGACCTGGAAGGCAATGAAGCTGCTGACTCCCTTGCAAAAGAGGGTGCTGCAAGCAGCTTCATCGGACCAGAACCTGTCATTGGCATCGCTTTAGGCTTTGCCAAACAAACATTGAACACCTGGATGGCAAGAAGATTTATGGACTTCTGGCAGAATCTTCCAGGATTGACTCACTCCGAGGCGTTTATTCACCCTTTGAAGCTTGATACCAAACAGTTGTTGGACAGTAGAGATGAACTACGATGTCTAACAGGCCTTCTTACAGGTCACTGTCATTTGAATTATCATATGCAGAGACTCGGACTGTCGGAAGACAGTGTGTGTCGCCTCTGCATATACAGCAGAGCATATACTTTGTGCCTGCCCCGCTGGGGACCGAATCAGGTTCTTTGAGTTCGGCAGATCCGTACTCTCACCATCTGACCTGGAAGACCACTCACCATACAAACTAATCGGCTTCGTTCGTTGGTCGAGTGTGAATAGGTGTAGTTGGAGATGAAAAACCAATGTGTTCGAGGTGCAAAGGAGAAAATGTACAAAGTCCTTATCAATCTATAAGTTTCCCCGTATTTTAGTAATTCATTTGAAAAGATTCTCTCCGACAGAAAGGTTCAGAGGCAAATTGAATGTTTCCATTGACTTTTCTTCAGATGGATTAGATATGAGCAGTTATGCAGCAGACAATGTGGCTAGTTGTCGTTATAATCTATATGCACTTTCAAATCACAGTGGGACTACTTACAACGGACATTACGCAGCATATTGCAGACACCCATATAGTGGCACGTGGCATGAATACAACGATTCACACGTGTTCTCAATTTCGCCAAAATCACTTGTGAGAAATGAGGCATATGTCCTCTTTTATGAACAGGAGGGAACGAAGCAGCACCTTTGATGTGATTTTTTTTCTTCTTTCTTTTTTTTATAATCATTATAATCATTATTTATTGTTCAAAATTGAAAATAAAAATGACTCAAAGAATAAATTGTATATAAACATATTCTGTAAGTAAATTTTTGTATTATTATTAAATGAGGTCACTCGGCCACTTGAAGTTGAACAGTCCTAATACAAAGTTATGAAACTATGTGTGGTGAAATTTTAAGAGCAGAAAAAATGCCGAAAAAAAGGTTCCCCTCACAATGATCCCAACAAATGAATTATTACATTTTCTGAATTTTGGGTTTGAGTTCAGAAACACTCGGATAATTTTTATATATTTTTTCAGGTGGTCGACAGTTGGGGAACCACCGCAGTGTCACTACTGCTATCGTTCATTCTGAGTCTGATGTTTGAAATGCCCGCCCCAGAAATTGAAAAATATTGCATCAAATTCGTGAAAAAGATTTTCGCTGTATTGTCTTCAGCGATGGGTATCAAATCAAAAGCGTCAAATACCCTTTAGAGAAACAATTCTGTTTATGAGTTCCAAATTATATAGTGTTGATTTGAATAAATTAATTATTTTGAATTTGTTGTTTTATGTGCTTCGTTACTGTAGATGCTCAAAACAGAGTAGGATATGAATGAGTTTCGTTCAGTCGCGGTTTTGTACCAGTAACTAACTCTTTAATACTATTTTCCACCTTGTACTGAGCTGTCTAGAACATTCTAAATCCGTATGGGGTGATCATTGGGTTCATGTATCGATGCCCTAAGTACAAACATTTGAGAATAGGAAAGACAGAATTAATCGATGAAACTTATTAGGTTTGTTTTAGTCCTAGATTTGGAACTGTTAGAGAACTGTTCCGAATTGTTGCAGAATCAATGAGCAGAACTCACAGACAGATCAGTTCTGTAACAGTGATCTTATTTAGTTTTTTCAGTTGTTTCGTGAATGTAATCATAGTTATTGTCGATAATGATTGATGCTATTGTGATGCACTGTTTGGAACATTTGGTATAGTAATGAATATTTCTGGAGTTTTTTCCCAACTCCATATCGTTTTTTTTACACCTCGACACGTGTTTCGATCACCCAGTGATCGTCTTCAAGAGGAAGATAAAACTAGAAACTACTCAAAACTAAAGCTATTTATGCTATTCAGGTACATCATACAGGTCGGTAATCAGTAATACCACCCATACAAGTGTACCACCCTAAATTAATTTTACAATTGGCCTTTCTATTATTTTACAATATGTTCTTATGTATGTTTAAATGTTACAGCTATATAAAGAACAATTTTCAGCTATACCGACAAAAAGATCTATCAAAGTGAGATATAAGGAACACATAGCACACTTAAAATATGGAAGACCTTAAAAATCAACAGTCGCCCATCATATTTTGCAACGAAACCATTCCATAGACTTCAGTTCTTTAATATTAGTTGGCAAGTTAACAACAACAGGCAACTAGATGCCTATGAGAGTGTAGAAAAAAGTAAACATAATAATATTATGAATAACGATAACGGATCAATACCAAATAGCATACTATATATAGCTTGTTGAAATAATATTGTTGGGTTTACTGATTACTACAAAAAGACACATTGTAAATATGTATATTTAGATAGGCAATATTGTGAAACTAATTTTATATAGCTGAAAATTGTTTTATATATAGCTGTAACATTTAAACATACATAAGGACATATTGTAAAATAATAGAAAGGCCAATTGTGAAATTGATTTAGGGTGGTACACTTGTATGCGTGGTATTACTGATTACCTACCTGTATGATGTACCTGAATAGCATAGATAGCTTTAGTTTTGAGTAGTTTTTAGTTTTATCTTCCTCTTGAAGATGATCATTTGGTGATCGAAACACGTGTCACACGTGTCGAGGTGTAAAAATAACGATTTGGTGTTGGGAAAAAACTCCAGTAATATTTAACTTGACACATGTTTCGAATCACCAAGTTTAGTCTTCCCCTTGAAGATGATCACTTGGTGATCGAAACGCGTGTCGAGTTGTTGAAATAACGGTTTGGTGTTGGGAAAAAACTCCAGTACTATTGACGTTATTCAAAAAAAAAATGTTTCACATTTGTATACAACACAGATTACTCAACCGTGATGTCCAAAAGTAAACTATAATAATACGATGTCCAAAAAGTAAACTATGTATATTAATACGTGACAGCATTGAACGAAAGTAATTTTTGTGGAGGAAAATCAGTTTTTCATCGGATATTTTTACCTTTCAAAATCTGTAAAATATGAAAATCGTAATGTAAGTAACTTTTATTTAATAATATTGTCTAGCAAAAAAGAGCCGGGAAATAATACTTGACGTTTCGGAGGCTGAAATCTGCTTCGGTCTTCAAAAATTCACAAAATTGAAGTTAACATGCAGTTTTCTTCTGCTGATTCTTTGTAAAATCATAGTAATTTGTCTAATTAGACAGAGAAGTGACAGAATCACTTCCGCGACAAGTGTATCATTGCAAAAGCGAAGCCATGTGTGAAACATTTGTTTTCAGGTTTGTACAGTGTGTTTAAAAAACCGAAATGAAATTAAAATTGTTCATATAAAAGTTATAACTAATTTGTAATATTCATTCTAATCGTATGTTGTAACTTTTTATGAAGATGCTCAAAACGGTTGCCTTGAACTTCTTGACATATGAACAGCCTATCCGATATTTCACACCAAACATTTTCGAACACAGTATCGTTAATATCTCTACAAATATTTATTATTCTATGACGTATATCCAATATTGAAGCAGGTTCAGTTTCGTACACCTTTTGCTTCAAATAGCCCCATAACAAAAGTCCAAAGGTGTGATCTGTAGGACTTCGACGGCCAATCCAACGGGAAAAGTAGTATCCAAATAGTTTCCTACTTTTTTGGAGTAATGTGGTGGTGCTCCATCTTGTTGGAATACAATATCCATATCGAATTCATTAAGATTCGCTTCGACGATTTCAGTGATGAGAGGGTCAACAGTAGTTTCCAGCATATTCAAATACAGTTACCCTGGTGAATTTTGATCAATAAATAGAGATCCTACAATATGGTTTCCAATATTCCTGTCCAAACGTTAATTTTTCTGAATATTCGATATGTGTTTCCCGGAAAATGTGAGGGTTGGTGTCACTCCAATAACGGCAATTTTGTCTGTGAACATTGCCGTTTAAAAAAATTTACATTCGTCACTAAAACAAATATTGTGGAGATAGGTATGATGTCTTGCAATGGTTTCCGTCATGATTTCGCAGAATTCTGTTCTTAGATCAGGGTCATCTTCAGTTAATTGGTGCACCATTTTAATTTTGTAAGGATGATACCTATTCTTCTCTTCAAAAGTCTCCGAACAGGAGAAGGAGACACCTCACAAACATTCGCGACAGAATAAGTAGACTGTTCAGGATTTACTACCATCTCACCAATTATTTGCACTTGCTGTTCTTCCCGAATGAACGGATGACCTGGGGGCTTTTTGTTATGTACACTACCGGTAGTTGTGAATTTGGATACAAGTTTCCTCAAATATTTTCTACAGATAGGACGATTCGGAAAACGTTCACGGTCTCGTGAAAGTTACGCGTCGCACCGTGAATAAAAATCGCTTCAATTTTTTCAATGGACGAGAATTGTCCATTTTAGAGATTTGTTGATGTGGTACTTCTCTACTAGTAAAACCGAAAACTAAATGAGAATATTCTAACTGAACAATGATGTTTATTGTCGTACTGACATTTTTTGACGTTTTTATAAACAGAAAATAACTTAACAAACTTTATCGGGTTGTTGGAATTGCCATATGGCAGGAAATTATTAACTGTTCCGCCATTTTGTAGTAGTTGAAGATATTGACTTCATATTCCAGGGATCTGAAGTATTCGTTAGGAGCTTCAAAATGATGTGTCACAAGAACCCCCTTTTCATTTAGATTTTTTCCAGATGGCGCCCAGACGCCATCTTGGAAGTTTTATCTGTCAATTTCACTTCAAAATAAAGTATTCATTTTTTTTCAGTTGACCCGTTCAAAAAATAAAAGCGGAGGACATTAAGGAAATGCACTGTATATCCTGCACGTCCATTTCTACATATATGTGAATGAATAGCCTTAACACAGAAAGAATAGATAAATAAAGAAAATAAAATTAAAAATAAGTATAAGTGGGGGACGGCAGATTTTTTGATTTGGCAAAATGATAGGAATTTGCGAGGTGACCCATATATTCTCTGCATCCGCTGTCCTTTCTATTCTGTCCACTGTACCATATCAAAATAGCCAGCTTCGAAATCTATTCTAAACTAAATTTAACTCGTCGTGTCATAATTCTCTCCACGTAAATAATTCGAAGAAAACTAGTCGTATCAGCAAGAGTAGCGAAATCCGCACAAAACCAAACGATAAGGATTAAGCATTTCCTCTGAAAGATATTTAATAGCTGGTAGGAAGAAACGTTTGTTACAGTCTAGAGAAGCGGGTGCCATGGCAAAGTCGACTGTTTTTATTTTGGCTGCAGGTCTGTGTTTGCATCTGAGCGGTGAGTCACCTTTGATTTATTTTAATCAAGCCACTACAAGCAGATGTATCAATTCTCAGATGCATTCTTGGAAAATTTAACTTTGAGCCCCGATGTGGGAAACAATACAGGGTTAGTCCGCAGAGTTAGCACCATTTGGAAAACTTATTCATTTATATATTTATTTATTTATCGGTCAAGTACCTACACTACAGAATTATTATAAAATCCCAAATGGTACATCAAGAAAGTTTCAATTGTTGAAACCAGTCAAGCATTAGAGATCAGTTATGAACCCAACAAGTAAAATCCTTAATATAAACTATTGTAATTGCTTAAAAATAAATGAACCTATTTATTTTTCATCAGTCCAGTACACCACAAACTATTAATAAAATACCGAGTGGAACATAAAAAAGAAAAAATATTAAAAAGACAAAAATAAGTGAAGACATTCAACACTAATGAATAATTAAATTATGAAACAAAAACGTAACTATGTCGAGTACATTACAGAATTGTAACAAAGTCCCAAATGTGCAAACAAACCCTAGACTCAAGTTATTACTTCATATTAAATAAAGGTATGCATTTTCATTTGTCAAGTAGTACATTAAGTTCAAATTCAATTAAAAAAAAAAACATGTACGAATACTAGAATTAGTTATGATTATTAAAAGAAATAATAAACGACTATTCAGAAGTTTAATGAACAATCTCTTGATGAAGTCGTCTAATTGCCATTTTTTTGAATTTTGAATATTTCAAATGAAAAAGATCAAGTTCTGAAAAGTATGTATTGAAATTTTTTTGAAGCCTACAATTTATTGCCATCGAGCCATAGTTAGTCCTGTGAAATCGCAACCCAAATGAAAAAATGCGATTGCTTCTTAAGGATCTTGAGTTAACAGAAAGGCAAAGGTCATCTAAAATAGCTGAACAATTGTAGTGGAAGTTTATTATTTTATGAAGGAATAGAACCATTGCAAGTTTACGTCTGTCCTCAAGTGATAATAAANAAAATAGATACGTTCCTGTATACGACAGTTCATTAAAAAAGCATATTATCAACAAATTATCCAATTATTGTCAATTTTATGAACAATAAAATTCTTTTGTGCAAAGTTATTTTTATTAGTTTTATTTTTTGAACGGATCAACTCAAAAAATTGAAATTCGGGATGATAAAATTAATATCTAAATGCTTTATTCTGAAGTGAAATTGACAGATAAAACTTTCAAGATGGCGACTGGACGCCATCTGGAAAGAGGAGTCACAAACACATCATTTTGAAGACAATATGAAGTCAATATCTTCACCTACTACAAAATGGCGGGACATTTAATAATTTCCTGAAGACAAACACATTATTACGGGTATTTTTTGAAATATTCCATTTTATCTGCCATACGAACCGTCAATTCTACAGCACACTATTTCGCAGCCGGTTCATTTCTATGTATTAGTTTTTTTAGCCTTTGTGAAGTGCACAATATTGTTTACTTCGTCTATAACTACTGTAGAGATAATTGATAGTGAAGTTCAGGTAATGCATGAATATATGGGTAGAAAATAAAAAATGATGGAAAACAACACATGTTTCCCTATACGATAGATTCTTATTTGTATAGGTTTATTAACTACTCAAACGCTCATAGTCAACTCATTTTACAGATGCAACTATCTGCAAACCTCTTTCAACCTTCCGCATAGACTGCAACAGCTGCACATGTAGCGAAAATGGAATGAAATACTCCTGTTCGAATTACGTATGCCCACCACCAAAGGTAGGAATCCGGTAGACTATAATATTTGATCACGAGTTTATCGTACATCTAAAAAAGAACTATCAGAAGCTAAATAACAAAAGATGGTACCTCAGTTAAGCTTGTTAAACTACCATTTCGCAATTGTACATGAGTTAACTGTAATTCTTTATTATTTGATAAAAAACATGAAAACTATTGCTCTGAGCAACAAATTTTTAGAAAAATTTTTGCGAGATGAAAATAATACAACCAATTATTATAAATGATATTTAATCCTATAATGCATGTATTGTGTATCCAAAATACACACTTACCGAACAGGTTGTGAGGTTGGTAACCTCAAAGTCTTCGGTTGACGCTCCAGAATCACTGACCAATGACCACTCCCCACACCGTGAGTTAAATGATAACTGGGTCCGTGAAGCATGTGCTCTAAGCAGACGCAATGAACCAAGGAGGGTATTTTTTCTGCCAAGATTTCTGCCGTACTGCGGCAAACCGATATAATCTTGAGATTTGAAAGTAGGGAAGATCTTGTTCCACCCAAGGACTCCAATAATTAGAAAACCATTATGCTAATCTGGATAGATGCTGCGAAGTTTGAAGGGAAACTCTCGATATTTCTTCCGTTTTTTTCTCCTCTTTTCTGAGTCTGACTCTGAGTCTAACTGTTATCATTACCTTCATTATCATGCTTGCCTAAAATGGGTTGCTATTTAGGTTCTGTACACAAAGCTCGGACCTATTTGAAGGGCGTATTCTTTGAGCAGACGTAGAAAACCAAGCATGCCAGCTTTTGTACGTCTAAAATTTCTCACATTTTGAAGCTAGCCGGCATAATCTAGAGACTCGAGAGTAAAAGACTCCAATAATCAAAACAACCACCTTGCCAGAGAAAATATCTACATTTCATCTGTCTTTCCTCCTCTTTTCGGACAATATTTGTCTCGCCAGGAGCTGAAAACTCCACGACAAATATCGTCTTGTCAAAAAAAACTACATCAGGCTAATTACCTTGCATGAACATTTCATCAGTTGGGACTTCCATTGTCTAATATGATATAAATTGATTTGAAATCCCTGAAAGAATCTGTAAAAAAATTTTAAAAAGATTAGTTCAGGTGTTGCTACAATTTCTGGTCTTCCACCACCGCTGTATGTGATATGGGTATTAGAAGTTTCTTTTTAGAACTGTCGATACTGTTTTTGAGCTGACTTCCAGCTGCAGTGCTTTCTGGTACTGTTTGAAGGATCTTTTTCTATCGCATCTAGTACCTATAGCTTCTTCTAGTTCAGGGGTTGCTACAGTTTCTGCTCTTCCATCACCGCTGTATGTGATATGGGTATTAGAAGTTTCTTTTTAGAGCTGCCCATACTGTTTTTGGGCCGACTTTCAGCTGCAGTGCAATCTTCATGGTACTATTTGAAGGATCTTCTATCGCATCAAGCATAGCTTCTTCTAGTTCAGGTGTTGCTATAGTTTCTGATCTTCCACCACCGCTGTATATGATATGGGTATTGGAAGTTTCTTTTTACAACTGTCGATATTGTTTTTGAGCTGACTTCCAGCTGCAGTGCAATCTTTCTGGTACTGTTTGAAGGATCTTTTTCTATCGCATCAAGTATAGCTTCTTCTAGTTCAGGTGTTGCTATAGTTTCTGATCTTCCACCACCGCTGTATGTGATATGGGTATTAGAAGTTTCTTTTTAGAACTGTCGATAATGTTTTTGAGCTGACTTCCAGCTGCAGTGCAATCATTCTGGTACTATTTGAAGGATCTTCTTCTATCGCATCAAGTATAGCTCTTCTAGTTCAGATGTTGCTACAGTTTCTGGTCTTCCACCACCGCTGTATGTGATATGGGTATTAGAAGTTCCGTTTTAGAACTGTCGATACTGTTTTTGAGCTGACTTCCAGCTGCAGTGCAATCATTCTGGGACTATTTGCAGGATCTTCTTCTATCGCATCAAATATAGCTTCTTCTAGTTCAGGTGTTGCTACAGTTTCCGGTCTTCCACCACCTGCATTTTTATTAAAACTTCCAGTTTCACATAATCTTGAATGTAGCGTTCCAAATGTTTGAATGTTTTAGCACCTGGAATTACTCTGTTAAGATATCTGTACTGGTAAATTCTCCGTGCTTCTTCCGTATTTCCATTTGCTTATCCATAAATAAAGTGCATGTCAGCCATTTCAGCGTTAGTAAAATGATTTATAATGGAATCACCGCTGATTGACAACTCTGACTTTCACTGATATGACAACACTATCACTGTCAGCTGGTCTCCAAAGCAGGAGTTCATGATATGCAAAGTGGCTTCACTGAAAATCCACTGGACTTGATAATTTAAATCTAGTTAGTGCTAAATAAGCGCCTTATTACTTTAAATAACTGTAGCAAATTTCAAGCAAATCGGTGTAAGGATATTTTATAAATACTGTTTTTTAAACTTCAACGCCCTCTATCTCAGAAACGAAGCAGCTTCGGACATATGTTCATAAGAACTTTTTTTACTAAAACGACCTAAGCCTATAATCAAATTGAGAAGTTAGCCGTCTTGCAAAAAAATTATTATATTGCTTGCCATAATTGTTTTTGCACACATCTTCTTTTCTTTACAGTATGAAGATAAGTTCGACATAGTGATAACCAAAGAAGGCTACAAACTGTTAGTACCCAAAAGTACCAATAAAGTCGCTTCGGATGACGACGAGTTAACTCTCACCAGAAGTCGCAGGTATCAGAAAAGTCTGAAAGGTTACCCATATATTAACGATGAAATACCGTCCAGCAAAGAGTTAGATAACAGCATTTACGGCGAAGATAACAATGACATTGACGGAACAGAGAACGACTTTGAAGAGAGAGCCAACAATCATATCGATAAGAGACCATACAGAAATCGTTTTGAGAAAAAGAAATATACCGACAAAATTTATGACAGTGACGATGAAAACAGTGACCTGACGTTCGAAGAAAGTGATGCGAATGAAGATGCAGAACGCTTAAGTGAAGAGGATGACAGTGACGAGTACAACGGAAAAAATGATGCAAGTGAAGATGCAGAACAGTCAAGCGAAGATGACGACAGTGACGAGATTGATGAGAACAACGATGATGAAAGTAAAATAAAAAAATTCTGGAGACAGGCGAGGAGAACGCGCGTATAGAGGTTGAATTTCAGTAGTTGTAGAATACAAGACGAAATTTCTGGTGAATATTTTTGGTCAAAGGTAAAAAGACGTAGAGTCACTGTAGTTCAACTTGACCATCTCATCGATAGCTTGTAACAAGTTGAAAGTAAAACAATTTCGCTCAAAAATTATCCTACTATATCTTAATATTTATAAGGCTGGGACTTTATATTAGTTTCGATTACTTAATATTTTCTAGTTGATAGAAATTTTGTAGTTCAGCTTCTATTTTCATAAAGTTTTTATGATCTGATGAATGGTTTTATTTTATCATTATATCTAGTGAAGGAACACCACAAATGTTAATATAAAAATAGCTGTCTATCAACCACATCCCAATTCAACTGATATGATCGTTTANCGTTGAATAGTTTGTCAGAAACGGCTAATTAACGCTTATCATGAAAAGCCCTGTATACTATAACGTGTAGCAGTCCTATGAATGATATCTGATTCAGTTCCATAACGAATGTTTGAAGTACAAAGTAAACAAGAAAACGTGTTTTTTTTATAATTCAATACTTTGGAATGGGAAATTCCTGAAATTTTATTCAAAAAGAGATTCAACAGTGTTCTTAGGTTTATTTAGTATAAAAATAAAATTTATGTACAGATCTTTCTATTATATTCTCCTAACATATCCTGCCAGCCTTCTCTCCCAGCCATTTTTTAATCTAGAAAAAAAACTTTGAACTATAAAAATAAACCAAAATTGAAGTCAACGTACATTTCGTATCCCCCATATTCCTTTATTGTCCAAATTCTCCAAATCCATGAGAACAGTCTCGCATTTTAGAATTTCCTGAAACAAGACACTTTCATCTGAAGCACAAAAAATAATGACATCTCTCACCTCCGAATAAAGAGTCTTCTTATCTTCCGGTAAGTACTGGAGTAATACTGCTGCGTATTCAAATTTTCTTAAATTTAGGCACAACTGTATGATCTTCTCGAAATCCAAATAGAATAATACTGGACAGGCCTAGAATAAATAATCAAAATCATTCAACTTCAATCCAACAAAAACTCTTTTTCCACACACATGAACTGCAACACTCTATCTGTTGCCCATCCTATTGGAAATAACGGTTTAATTATTCATTTGTTTACTGTAATGTGATCACCCCTAGTCGACAAAATTAAGGGTCGACCCTTTCAGTAGTATTGCCTATTGTATATGTGAAGATTCCTGCACTGACGCCTATCGGATATAATCCAACGCCCTTCGTGGTATTAGCCAGGGGAGTAGTTGTTTTCTGATAGGCGCTGGTCCATTCAACCTACTGTGTAGGTATTTCGGAGACTGGCTTGAACGTTTAAAATTCATTTCTTTAGATTTGTTTACCGCCATTCTTCAAGCATAAGACTAATAAGAAAGTTTTACAATAATTACCAAAAATTCCGTTTCAAACCTTTCTTCCTCAAATATGATACTTCATAGTCATTGTTGAACTCATGCCTTTCTGTCAAAAGATGGTTTTCAAATGTGGATATTGTCTTCACATTCAAGAAACTACTTCTACGTTCTTTTATTCTTTGTGGAAGGGTTCTACCTGTTTGACCGGTAAAAAATTTTTGAACGAGAACCACAAGTCAATTGAATTGAATTGAAAATGGAATTGATTATAATGGGGCAATATTTTTCTTTGAAGTTGTTTTCTTCTTAAGAAACACGTTTATCCCGATTTGACACAGAAGCTACTTTCTACACTAAATTTTGATTCTAATGACTCACCAACAACTGTGAAAAAATAATTCAGAAAGACATTCTCTGGAATTTAGAAACACAAAAAAAGTGCTACAGTTCTGGTGTGTGGAAAAGATTATTTCAATTTAATTTCAATTTGGGGAACAGCTAATTTATCAATAATAAATCCTCTCAAGAGACTGCAAAATAAAATAATAAAATGTATATTCAAATTACCATATCTNGGCCACGACTCGCCAAACATACACTCTCTTATTGACGATAACTTGGGGCACTCGCATAGAACATGCCTGATATTCTCATATTCTTGTTCACACATCCTGCATAGAGATGTATCCACTAACTTCATATTAAGGAGATGTTTTCTTAGTTGACAGTAGCTAGTCAGAAATCCTACTGCTAAGCATCGGCGGCAAATAGTTTCACGCCTTCAAACATTATCGTGTGATCTCCTTCACTGAGCACTAAGCCAATTTGTCTATTTGACCTAATCTATAGTTTTTCCCATGTTCTTCAGCCTTATACCCATGGATATTTTGGTGGTACCGAAACAAACTTTTCCGCATGTGCATGGTATACGGTATACCCCCGCAGCTGATAGTGGATTTCTTTTGTGTTTATATCTGTGCCACCAAAAGATCTGTGGGTACAGATGTTGAAGATGTGAAACTACTTGCCCCCGATCATGGATACCACAGTCGGTTTGTACGGGAAGCCATAGAAATCCATGAACATAAGGAGAACTACAACAGAAAAGAGCGGTAGCGCTTAACTGGATTTGAAATCCCATACTCAAAGATTTTAAAGTGGCAAAAGCGCAATGTAATGTTACGGCTCTTAGAGGCGACAGGTCACTCATTGATAAGTCAAGTATTAATACCGTAACCAAAAACAACCCGCTAACAGGTACAGCGGTAATAGATTCGTCACTTTGGTCAATACCAACACATCAACAAGAATGGCGGACTACCTGAGTCGGCATAAATACAACCTACGAACTAGAAATCACCAGTCATCGGTGAATCATCAACATGAATAAACCTCTGAAGAAGCCAGCCACTCGTGCTGGCGAAACGTCAAGATGCAGTTCCAAACTATGATGGCCTTCTAACCCGAATGAAGATGGTAATACTGGAAATCTCAGTCCCGAAAGCATTAGCCAATTTATTTTTAATAATATACTTTATGAAATGCCAAGGTAGAATTTTAATAGTCACGAATTTCAAAACACTTAATAAACAAACCTGGATCATCAAAAAATTCTTGATACACATCTCCTCCAGTTCGTCATCGGTCAAACACTTAGTTTGCTGGAACGCATTTTCGATGATGACCTGCCAGGCCTTGATAAAATAGTTCTTATCACAGTTGTCTTTCAAATAGTCTACATAAACTTTCAATTCTTCTACCTGAAATATGTTAACAAAGATTAAAAAAACTACAAGAAAGTAATATTGAACAATAAAATCGGTTCACACCGGAGAAAATGCATAATTTGTGAAAGAAATCAACGTAAATTTATTACCATTCTAAGTTTAATGGAATTCTTAATGATATATTCCCAATATCGATTCTCGTCCAAAAAATAAGTCATGCAAATAGAGCCCATGCTCTTGATGGCCAGAGGTTTTCCAATCTGTGACAGCCTTTTCAACAGCTCTTTCTTGTTATACTGATCCAGAGTTTCGATGGTCAAAGATATTCCGAGGCACTCCAACTCACTCAACAATGTGAGCTTGTCAACGAAATCCCTGAAAAGCAGAAAAATCATAAGTTAGCAAGCATTTATTGGTCATTTATACTAAAACCAATAATGATTGAGAGTAGAAGTAAACCCAGTTGACAGCAACTGCGTGCTTATTAATTTTTGAGAGGGTTAAGAATGAAAGAAAAATTCTTAGTACAATTAGTTAAAATATTCATACACATTTTTTATTTATTTCATTAAAACTTTGCAATATCGTAATTTACCTAATCGTTGTAGTCATTAGGTGGGCCTTATGAAAACGGAGTAATAATCGTGGTAATTATAGTAGGTACCAAATAAATTAACAATATTAATAAAAAACACAATATATATATATATATATATATATATATATATATATATATATATATATATATATATATATATATATATATATATATATATATATATATATATATATATATATATATATATATATATATATATATATATATATATATATATATATATATATATATATATATATATATATATATATATATATATATATATATATATATATATATATATATATATATATATATATATATATATATATATATATATATATATATATATATATATATATATATATATATATATATATATATATATATATATATATATATATATATATATATATATATATATATATATATATATATATATATATATATATATATATATATATATATATATATATATATATATATATATATATATATATATATATATATATATATATATATATATATATATATATATATATATATATATATATATATATATATNCAACACTGATTTTGACAGATCACGCGTGAGTTGTGTCTTGTGTCATTGTCAAACTTGTTCAGTTTGGTCTATAATTTAACCATGAATCGACGAATGAACAACGCTTGCAAATTATTGAATATTATTATCAATATTCATGCTCGGTGCAGAAAGTGCATCGTGCACTTCTTTCAATTTATGGGCAGTTTCGTCGGCCTACTGAGGGAGCTATTCGGAATCTTGTGACTAAATTTCGAACTCAGTTTACATTATTGGACATTAAACCACCAACAGGCATACGTAGAGTGAGGACCTCAACAGAAAATATTGCGGCTGCATCCGCCAGTGTTCGTGATGACCGTGAAACGTCGATTCGCCGCCGTTCGCAGTAACTGGGCCTTTGTTACTCCACTACGTAAAAAATTTCGCGAAAGGATTTGGGTGTAAAACCTCATGAGATACAGCTGGTGCAAGAATTGAAGCCACACGTTCTCCCACAACGTCTAACATTTGGTGAATGAGCGCTGGCAAAGTTGGAGGAAGATCCACATTTTTATTGAAAATTGTGTTCAGCGACGAGGCTCATTTCTGGTTGAATGGATACGTTAACAAGCAAAAGTGCAGCATCTGGAGTGAAGACCAGCCACAAGAATTGCAAGAGCTGCCGATTCATCCCGAAAAAGTTACTGTTTGGTGTGGATTATGGATCGGCCCGTACTTCTTCAAAGACGACAATGGCCGGAACGCTACTGTGAATGGCTAGCGCTACCGTGTGATGATTGACGACTTTTTGTTGCCCAAAGTGGAAGAATTGGACATGCCTGACATGTGGTTTCAACAAGACGGTGCCACATGCCACACAGCACGCGAAACAATGACCCAATCAAGAGCCGCCTTCGGTGAACAGTTTATCTCACGGTTGGGCAGCAGCCAGCAACGACTGACGCTCTGGAAGCCAATATCGAAGCATTTATACGTGAAATACCGGTCGATATGTTAGAGAGAGTGCGCCAAAATTGGACCTTGCGCATGGGCCATCTAAAGCGGAGCCGCGGACAATATTTGCATGAAATCATCTTCAAACATTAAATTAAATTGATCGTTTTATCGATTCCAATGAAGATTTCATCAATTTTTTTAAAATGTTTGTGTTGTTTTGAAAATCAAATCCTATACCTCTTGAAAATTCACCCGTTATTAGGTTGTTTTGAAAGTTTTGTCTAATTGAACTGTAATATCTCAGTAATGACTTATTCAATTCAATCAAAATGAGCGTCATTTGAATCAATGTACTTTTGCCAACGTAAGTCGATTAATTCCATTATCATAAAAATTGTGTGCTCGGGATTCAATGAAGTGGACGAAGGCCGTTTTTGCCTGATCCTAATCTGCGAAGGTTTTTCCGGTGAGAAACTTATCGAAGTGCTTCAAAAGATGGTAGTTGGTTGGCGAGAGGTCTCAGGAGTATGCTGGGTGAGGAAGAACTTCAACGCCCAATTCATTTGATTATCGGGCGGTGATTTGTGAAACGTGGGGACGGATGTTGTGGAGCCGGATCAGACCTCTTCTCTTAACCAGTATCAGCTACTACTGACACAATTTTCGGTACATATCATTGATTTCCTCCCAATAGGGCTCTGGTGTGATGGTTTGGCCCCGTCACAGAAAGTTATAGTGAATCGCACCCACCGCTGACCACCATACAGTAACCATGGTAGTTTTTTTGGTGGGTTTTTGGCTTTGGGAAGCGTCTGGATGGCTCATCGGTGTTCGAAAACTGTCCTGAACGTCTCCTGTTGTAGAGGATCCACTTTTCATCACACGTGACAATCCGATCCAAAAACAGATATTTTTCGTTGTGCAAAAGCAAAAAATAACAAATAAAAAGTATCATTTTATATGTTACAGGGAAGCTACAGATGTTATTACTCACAAAAATTCCAGATAGCTGATTTTCGTCAACTCTGCAATCTTTTCTTTGTCAGTTATAGCGCAGAAACACTTCAGAGCCTTCGCTTTGAACGAGAGGCTTTTCTGTTCATCGTTTTTGTCCTCAAATAGCCCGACAGTCAGCAAGTAAGTCTGCCACGTTTCTAGGTCTCCACTTCCACAAACATAGATCGCTCTGTAAATGATAAATCTTGATTTACCTGACAAGTAAACCCTTAAAACTATCTCACCTTTTCAAATTATCGTCGCCATCGAAGTTTTTCACTTGCGTAGACATATTCGGAAGAAATACCGACGTTGTATCCAAGTCAAGAACTGACGAATTGCTCAGCCACTGATTGAGAAGGCTGATCCTCATCTTCGTTATTTTCAGTGCGAATAACTCCGCTAAGGAATCTACAGCTCTATTTATATCTGAAAATAAACCAGTCCATAAAGAATTTTTTCAACACGTAGAAGACACAAGAAATACCTGGATATCCCAAATTTACTGACTGGGCTTGCTTTATAATCCTCGGGTCCATGTAGAGATTTTCCACCAGCGTGTCCGGCTGGGTCACCAGATTTAAGTACTTGTCGTCAGCTAAATTGAACTTGTGTAAAATGTGCATGGCAGAATATCCATAGTATTTGTTCTTGACCTATAAAGAAACACGAGAGGTAAAATAGTGGTGTGTTAAAGAGGTTCTTTTTTTCCACCTTTTTGTACGCCGTTTCTACGTCCAGAGAATCCGGATTGCTTTTAATATACTTGGTGGCATACTTGTAGCTTAAACTTGCGGCATTCACCTTATCAGCACCTGCAAAAACAACTTTAACTGAAGCATTACAACATTAATGATCATTTGAATTACCTATCAAATTGTTTTGTTACTTTGATTCTGTTTCTGTTACAGTGATACTATTACATACTGTTACTTTGATACTATTATTATGATATATGTGTATATAACACAAATAGAACCTCATTTTTCCAATCAATCAAACATTTATCGAATCAGTTTTCCTTCACAATCACNGAGTTGATCAATTGCGCCAACAGTGGATTTATTTCTTCTATAAGCATTCTGACTAGAAGAAAATAATCTAAATGATTCAAAGTAATCATATAATCTTTGATAGAAACAGTATTCAATAATCTTAGAAAACTGACTAAGTAGCGATATAGGCCTGTAAGATGCACAGTCAGATCTCGAGCCCTTATTTTTATATATTGGCAAAACCTTTGACATTTTCAGTATATCAGGAAACCTCCCCTCTATGAAAGTGGAGTTAACTATATGAGTCAAAGGCTCAGAAATCACATTGGCAACCTTTTTAATAACATGACCAGGAATTTCATTAATACCGGACGATTTTTTCTTACAAACTTTTTTGATGACTTGTTCAATTTCCATTTTAGTTGTTGGATATAAATAAATACTTTGAAGAGCAGATGACATACAATTGATATTTTTAGTGTCAGGTTTGGATATGCTACTACTGACAGTTGAGAAATAGTCCCTGAAAAGGTTGCATATAGCAAAATTATCAGAAAGAATGTCACCACCTTCAGCACTTTGTAGACAAAGTATGGCGGCATTGCCAGTATAACCAATCTGAGCAATTGCTCATAAATTGGAAGAAATCAGGTGGTTGAAAATGGATAATAGAAGAAAAAGTCATGCTGTTGTTCTCTACTATAAAATAATTATAAAACAAGTTCCCTCTTATACTTACATAAGAAAATAACTTACCGTACAGATGCATATAATCTGAATATTCGAAATAAAGGCCTACTGACGGAATATTTTAGACGGTCATTTGGCTACTAAATATATTCTCTGTGCAATCCGGTTCTGTCATTCGATTCGTATTTTTAAACCACTGAGGTAGCTCGTTCCAAATTGGATATATGCCCAACGCATTCGTCTACCTGCTGAAGCAGGTCCTCGAAATTGGGGTGCAACGTCCAATCCTGGGTTGAGTTTTCTTCCAACACTCTGCTTGAAACCTAAACGTGAATAAAATTTATCTTTTCGTTCACAACATAATATACTAATTTCAATCAAAAATGTATCAAGATGATACCAGACAGGTTGGGCCTTTACTGTTTTCTCACTGATTGATATACAATAAAGTTACAAAAATCAAACTGAGCCGATTCAAAACTGTACAGAAAACACACTATTTATCCACATCAATTGAAGTTTCATACCGTAGCAACAGATACTTACAACTTGCTTCACAGCGTACACGCAAATGTCATCGATCTTCAAGTTTTTCCTCAAAATATTACTCCCATCAAACCAAAACTTGTACGATTTCAAACTGATTTCCGGCCTGAGAATGCTCCATATATCCGATGTGAACAGTAACTGAGAGAAAGGGAGCCTGAATTCTGACAGAGCGTCCAGGGACTGATTATCAGGAAACATGGTGTACCACTCCTCTCTTTCACGTTGACTGGGAACGCTGAACCTCGAATATGTTTTCAAGAACAACAGCAGGTTAATGTCGGTGCTTCTAGACACCGAGCTTTGGGTGTTGTTCTCGAGTATTCTATAGGCGCAGATGAACACTTCATAGTGGTAGAAATTAGCCTAAAAGAAACGAATTACAATTCTGAAGCTTATAATATTAGTAGATAGATAGACATATATTTTATTGTCCAAGAAAATACAGTATTTTTGACAAAGCTTGTTCACTTCAAAGAATAAAAGAAAAGAAACAATTCAAAAACACAAATACCCAGAAACACTATTTGAGCAAAACTAAGTTCACATATCTAATAGATAAAATATAACAATGAAAAATAAAATTTAACAAAGTTTGTAGACAAAATAGTTTGTATAGTCCCTTT